AGTGGGTGGCAGAAGTGACGTCATTTGTGTTGTCATATGTAATATACACCTCTCGAAATTGTATCGTCCTTTGGGTACAGTTTACAGTAAAAACCGTCGATGTTGAAGTTAACACAAGGGAGGAGAGGAAACCAAAGACATTGTTGAAAGACATGTTGAGCAACATGGCGAAATGAATTAACATAGGAAGCAAAATAACGTTATAATCAGAAAAAATAACAGACAAGGAAAAAAGAAAACAAAGCACATAAAATTGTAAAAAGAAAAAAACAACATATTTTGCATCTGGAGTGCTGGAGAGGGTAATACAGAGTTGCAAATGTACAAAGCAATTCATAAATTACCAGTGAAGATTATTAATTTACCAAAAATGATATGGATAATGCCAAAATCAATCAATTAGTAAAGAAAGATTCTTTTAAAAATACAGACTCACGCCAAAATATGCATTCAAAATCAAATGAAATATCCTTTTGTAAAAAGCCCGAAGATAAAGATGACAAATGGGGGGAATGATAATGCCCATGGAAAAGCCAATGGGCGCCGAGACTATACAGACGTACACAGACGCAGTAAAGACTGACAGACAATAGCTGTAGTGTACAGAGATGTAGCAGGGGGTATCCGGACAACTTATTGTCTGAACCATCTAGGGGTCTTTTAATGGTAACTTACATTATATTTGTAGGAACAATAACTTTTCAGATTTCATTTATTATTCTATGGCTAGAAAGTAATAAATTCAAAGACTTGTATAATAAATTATGGATTGTATTAATCGAGATTAAGTATATTTCTTAATTTAGAAATGTATAACTATTTTGCTACTGATTACGTATTTTTCAAAAAAGGAAGACCTGAAACGTAAGTTACCAGTACCAGAATACTGATATATTTCTGAATTATGAAATGTGCTAATACAATTCGACTTGAACCTTGAGTACAAACCATGCGAACTTACGGCGCCGTGATCCTGGCCGAAGGGCACTGACTGACTATGATTGACGACGACTGACTGGATTAAAACAAATTACTCCAAACTTTCGACGTCCGTAGATGGCAATACTAGAACGTTGTTACGAATTGTAACATAAAGAATTGTCTACAAGGCGGATCTGACCCAGACACAGGCGTATCTAGGTATTCACGCACCCACGGCAAGCATGGAATTTGCACCTCCTGTCAGGATACATCAAATTAGGGGTTTTATTAACTGTTTAGAGGGTATATTCTACACAGCGCCCTTCCTCTTTCTTCATATTCATTTCGCACTTTGCGATATGGTCAAGAAACATGCTACAGGCGTACGGCTTGCTCCTTCTTCTTGTACCCTTATTCGGGAAATTGATAAACACGAACTCTGTCAAATTAAATTTTAATACACACGAATTTAATATTAGGAAGGTTACTAATCCTGTCTAAAAATCGATGTTCAAAAACATCAATGGTGTTAAGTCGATATATTTTTAACATCGATGTTTTAATTTTAAACATCGACGTTTGCTAACATCGCTGTTTCGTTATCGATGTCGCATCACCAGTCCCCAGCCTCGTCGGCCGCCGTGATGTGGCGTGGTCCGAACGGGCGCTCTCGGCCGGGCGCCGCCGGGGGAGGGCGAGGCCGAGGGCGATAGCAAGGGCGGTGGTGGGGGCGGTGAAGGGGCAGCGCCCGGGGGCGGCGCGGGAAGGGAGCGGTGCGAGTGGAGGCCCCAGATAAATTCCATCTGCCGCTGTGCGTGATGGCCCGGGGGGAGAAGCCCGGCGATCGTTTGTCGCTGTCTGAGTGTTACGGGGGCGAAATCAATTAAAGAAATCTAACGTGTGAAGTGGTAGTCGTTAAAAACACGTAAGGCTCTTTTGAGCGGAGCGAAACAATAATGCTCGATCGATGTTTTCCTTTTTGCTTCCTTTTTGTGGTGCCCGACTTTCTTTTTTAACGTGATAAACCGATTTCCTTTCAAATTATAGCGTCGGTCTTGATATTGAATTCTGATGGAAAAGTTTTGAAATTTCCTCAATAAACCCATTCATTTCCTTTCGTTTTGCTTTACGATTGTTTGGAAGTCGTTCCTGGGGAGTATTAAAATATGTTGGTGTTTTTTAGTTAGCTTTATAACTTCATGAAATCTTATTGATTTTGTAGAAACACTCTGCAGAAATCCTTTCAATGCAAAGCACTCTAAGATGCTAAAATTAATAAATAATATTGAATGGTATGTATTTCTGAATTTCATTTGATTTATTTGTGATTTAAAAGAAAATCATAAGGGTATACTTTCTCTCGCTCCCTTTTAATATATTATTTTCGTACTGATGTGTCACACATCAATAATGTATTAAATATTCGTGTACAAATGGAAAGAAATTAAGGTGGTAGCATATTCTACCAAATGAAAGAAAGGCATCTTTTAATTATTATGACACAAATTACCTTATTAACAAATTACCTGATTTATTTTGATACAAATTACCTTCCTTAAAATGAGACAAATTACCGTCTTTTAATGATACAAATTACTTTATTTATTATGATAAAAATTATCATAATGATGTATCTAGTTACTAAAGGTGAATTTAAACGTAGATTAAAATGATCGGTTATTCTTGCGGTTCTATCATCTTTAAAAAAAAAATTATGACAAACGAACTTCAAATTTCCGAAATTTAATTGTAATAAATCACATGGCTGAAATAATTGTTTTATTCCATTTTCCTGTTCCAGTAATTTCTTTAAGAAGCCATAATTCAAAGAACAATTAATAATATCAACTTTTGATTTTTATGAAAATACATATATGAATGTAAATCGAATTAAAAAAACATTTCATCAACAAACAATTTGAAAACATTATTAATACTTAATTTTGTAAGTATTTCTGAATATCCGGAGAATGTTTACGAAATATTTGAGTAAATAAGTGCAGGTATATTTACTTCGACTAAATCTTTAAAATTGTGTCCCAAATTAATAAATTTCTATATGAGTTGACAAAGAAACTCTGGTGAAACACGAAGAGTAAAATACAAATATTTTTAGTTTTGGTGGTGATGGGAGGAGGTTCTATGAGTAGACCGCGAGAAGAAGAAATTCAATTTCTGATTAAAATAATAAATTTAGAAACCGAATACCTCGCAAATTTTAATTTTCATTTACCACCCTTCACATGCGTTTAATGCTTCCAATACCCACGTGGAGATATGATGAGCACGATATCAAGGTGGAACGCTCTCTTGACATTTTAACCTTTTCCGACCAGGACTGCGTCTGGTTGGCTGAAAGTGTGATGCTGTACCTGTGCTCGGCAGTAGTCGGCACCTTTTCCCTATTGCGGTTTAGCGTGTCGTTTGTAATAAAGTGGAAAGTACACACGCACATGTGAGGGATTCGGTAATAGCAGTATGGGTGGTTTCGTGGGCATGGGTGCTATCTGTGTTTACACGAAACCAAAGAAACGGTTACTGTCCCTTTCCTGTGAAGTTCACGATTATCGGAGGTGCACCACAGTTTCGCGGTTGCAGGATTTTGACGGAGATTTTTAATTTTTTCTGAATAATTTTTCCTGAATTTTTTGTTAAAAAATAAGCTTATTATGTTTTTAGTGAGGATCTATATCTGGGGTATTTCGTAAGGTAATGTAAACGATGAATAAAGTAAACTTAAGATATTTTTGATGACGATAAACCTCTGAACCCGCAAGTGGCAACGATTGTGCAGAAAAAAATAGGTTCAAGAGATTTCAAAATATCTGATGACATGATCTCTACACTGTAAATTTCGTCTTCTAATTCCACACTAATTTGTCCACACAAACCATACACACATCTCGTCGAAGTAATGCAAGTAACAGATAATTCTGACCAATTATGAATTATTGAAGAACAACGAAGGTTATTTGCGATATTATTGATGTGATGATGTATTTTTAATTTTAAGCTAATAATTGAAGGTTTATTTAGCTTCGCATCTTTTAAGTTTCTCCCAGCTCATCCTGACCCAGAGTATTATAAAACGAGCATTTGAAAGCTCGTAAAGGAAGGGCATTCAGGAAGCATAATTTAAGTTCAGTACAAAAATCGAAATTTATGCAGTTATCAACGCGTTACTAACAAAAATGCAAAATGTGCAGGACAAGTTCATGAAGTTAATGCTATCTCACGAAATACTGGAGTACATTTTCTAAATATGTGAGGAGGCCGAGGAGGAGAAGAAAAGGAAAGAAGGACGACTTTCCGGCGATTAGAGATAACGACGAAGATCGATTTCATATTAAGGGGAAAAGGCAAACATTTTATTCCACACATCACTTCCGGGTACAACGTAAATGGCGATTTCTCGGATATTGGAACGGGCCCTGAGGTAGAAACGTTCACTCTTAAAAAACCCATCGTCCTACCAAAAACTATCAAAAATAGACGAGCTAAAAAAGAAAAAAAAAGAAGAATATGTTGGGTCCTGGGGAGTTTCCATTGACATTCCAAAGCGCGAATGAGAAGCCATGATTCTGTATGGGTCGCACCTGTTTGTTCCTACACAACTAGATCTGAATGAATTTATTTATTTGTCAAGCTAAACATCTTATTCACATAACTCAAGCGCACATCAGTCACTGCTGCAGCGTCATGTCTATTTCAATCGACCCATTCTATCTAAAGAATTTAACTTCTTGAATTTCATTCCATTCATACATTTACACACTGATTTATTTCGAGTCAACTTAATTCAGTTTGAGAACTGACTGAATAGTTACTAAAGGAGAATCGTTCCTAACACCATTTCATTCTCCCGCACCCCGAAATTCCTCTTCTCACATTACCTCCTCCTCGCAGTGCCCTACAAAAGCGCAAAACTTGCCAGGCCGTATCTATCCGCTCCTTTAATAAACAAAACAAGCGGCCGGAGCGCTGCGCTGCGCGGTGCGGCGGCGCGCGAAATTCGCGAAACGCAAGGAAACGTGCGAGCGGGCGCACTTGCAGATAAGGATCACCTCTGCCGTCCAGCCAGGAGCCTCGGCCTCGCCGCTCTCTCAGTCGACCCTCTCTTGCTCTCGCCAGCCCCGCCAGCGGCATCGCCCGCGTCTACCCCGCTGCTGCCGCCACCGCCGCCGGCGTGCCGCCCTCCACTCCTTCCCCGACCCCGCCCGTCTCCAGCTCCCTCTCCGCTGTCCCCGTCATCGTTACGCGCCGCGTCTATTCTTGTATAGCCTCTATTCTCCTTGTCCGTTCCGTTCTATCAATCGCTACCTCGGCCTCTACCGATACCGGCCACGTAGCCCATGTTACTGACACGGTCACCCCCACTCCGTCTCCGATTGAGGTAATTGATTGATTAGTGATTCCGGGTGCGTCATCTGCTAAGGTCATTAGTCCCGTAAGTGTAGTGCATGGTTTTGCTCGGGAAGTGGCGGTGATCTTTCCCCGCTTCATGGTGATATCCAGCGTCGACATACGCGTCGTTCTCCCATACCAGGTATCTCCGACTAGCGGGGCACCACTCCAGCCGGGACAAGCACTAAGCTGTCCCGGTGTGTGTGGTAGTGTAGAACATGCAAGTGTAAATGTGTGTAACGGGTGAGGATTAGACAAGGAGGAAAGATCGCGCGGAGTCCGTGCCCCGTTTGTTAGGGTATTGCTCCTGCATTCGCCTGGTACTGGTCGAAGAAACCACGACACTCTACCGACCAGAGCAGCCAGCCGCTAGAATTCTCCTCCAGACAGCGACAGAATAAGCTACCGAGTTCATCTCCGGCCCCACCTCTATCTCCCTCTCCGCTGTCCCCGCTGCCGCCACGCTCACACAGCCTCACCGCTTCGGCCACAAACGCCCCTTCTGCCTTGTCCGTCCGTCCGTTTCGTGACTCCGCCATCGGCCGTCCATGCGCTTCGCCGTCCCACCGCCACCCGCCCTGCGACGTCCCGCCGTCCGCCAACCCTCACCCTCGCCGTCCCCTCCCTCGCCGTCTCCGCACTGAACCGTCCTTCCGCCCTCGCTCCTCGCCCGTCTCGCTCCTCGCTCGTCCCCTGTCCCAGCCGTACCCGCCGTCCCCGACCCCGTTCTCCTGCCGTGCCCGCCCTCGTTGCGTCCCCGTCCCCGCCGTCCTCGCGCGTCCGCCCGCGCCACGCCGATCCCGCGTCCCCTTGCTCCTTTCCCGTCCCGCGCCTCACATTGCTTCGTCCCCTGCGTCCTTCTGTTGCACTGTCTCCCGTCCCGTCTCAGTTCCGCCGTCCCTCGCACCTGCCGCCGTCCCGTTCCGCCGTCTCGTCCTCTGCCTCGCCGTCCCCCGCCCCTCGCCGTCTCTCCCGCCCCTCGCTGTCTCCTCGCTCGTCTGCCGTCCCCGCCCTCTTGCCGTTCCCTCAGTCCCTTCAAGCACTCTGGTACCCTTGCCCGCTCGTCTCTCCGCCCTCTTGCCGTCTCCCCGCCCCGTTATGTTCACGTCCCCCCCTCGCCTGCTCCCGCCTTCTCTTTGCGTCTCCCGCCCTCGCCGTCCCCACGGCTCCGTCATATGCCGTCCCCTGCTCCTCGCGTCCCCGCCCTCGTCCGTCCCGCTCTATCACTAACCCTTTTTTCCGCCGTCGGTGTCTCGTTCCATCCCTATCTGCCTTGTCCCCGCCCTCGGGCCGTCCCCTTGCCCGTCCATTTGCTGTCCCCGTCGTTCGAGTGGGCTGCTGTAGAAATGCGGCTTCTGGAAGCGGCGACGGCGCGGCTCGCTGCTCGCTGTTTCTAAAAGAACAAACGGGTAAAAATGCATTCGGGTACGCTCCGCTGGGCGAAAAAGCGAGTCGTGGCGAAATGTTCAGCTGATTCTCATTGCTCCGTTGGAGGGTCTGCCGACAGACTGGCGCCAGGGGGGGGGGTCGCGGGGGGAGAAGAGAAAGAAAAGAATGGTGGAATACATGGAAAACGGAAATTGGGCGGACAGGCGCAAAGACACAAAGGTTATTAAGCAATGAATGAGAAAGCGAAAGAAAAAGAAAGAAAAGTGAGGAACTCAGAAAATATACATTTTATTGATGTATATTTGTATCCACATTTATAGATAAGTGTATATATCTTGTGTAAGATAAAGAGAAGGGCGTAATGTGTGGGCAGAAAAAAAGCAGCGATAAAGAGAGAAAATAAAAAATAGTAATAATTAAGAGAAAAGATGAAAAGAAATGTTTACGAATTAACAGTGGACATGATGACAAAAGAAAAATATAACCTGTATTACTGGCAAAATAGCGAAGAATAAAAGTGATGATATTGACCGATTTAGAGCTCTACTTCATCTAAAGCGAATTCTCACATTAGTATGTCCAAAACTACAAGAGATTTATCATCCATTGTGAGTTTTAGTTTAGTAATGTCCTCTCGATTTGCATGTCGCATATTTGTTTGGAGGTCTGTAATCTCATTATCTCGAATTCCTGGACTGTATTTTACCTCTTTTCACAAGTCGCTGTATGCAAATGAACGATAACTGCAGGTTCCACAACTAATTAGAGTCCGCGGTATATCTACAGGATCTGGGTTACTTTGCTGCTGTTGGCACTTATTCCTCGTTTTCCATCACTTAGGCAGAAAAATATTCCGCAGAAAATCACCATTAGAAATAGCACATGTCGAAAAGCAGTCTTATTATTTTCACAATTTAATTACTATTATGTAATTAGAAATTACACGGCCACCATTACTACAAAATGACTGTACCACGTGTATTTAATATATTTTAATAATTGACTCACGTGTTCCTACTAACACACATTCGCAGAACGCAAAATGTGAAAGGACAGCATTTTATGCGAAGTTTTCGAAACTGCCTACCATTTTATTGACTTCTTGACATATTTATGTCGGGACAATATAAAACTCGTTTCATAATTATTAAAGAGAAAAATCTGAGTGAACGTACGTCATAAAATTGGCCATTTTTATCTTTCTTCTTAGATGTGAGATGTGCTACTTGCATGACAGTGTGATTGCAACTTACTCCGCCGATCTCTCACAATACGACAAAGCGAGAATACGTGTTGCAACGAAGTAGTAAGAAACGGACAGCATCCACTTTGGAAATCTTATTTGTCGAAAATTTGTCGACAAAATTACGTATACATTGATATTTAGAGAAATATTTATGAATTTACTCCCTAACCCATGTGGTCAATGTACTATACGTCACAATTAAGCTATTTGGAAACATATTTGTTAAAGTTAAATTTAGGTAAATTAAAAACAAAACAAAGTACAGAAAATAACCAGTTACTGCTTCAAAGAAAGAGAATGTCGTTGTGCACATTCCTGAAACGAAGTATGTAAAGGCATAACGGCAATATTAGTAATAATAATAATTCATGTTTTCAAAATTATTTGACATAATAGCATAATTGCTAATTTTCGTTTAAAAATGTCAAAAGAATATTTATAAATCTTACTACGAAAAATTACCGTCGAATGTAATTTTTTCCATTCACATTCTTTACTAATGGGATGAGTAATAAAAGTAAGTGTAGATGTGACTGGCGCTGACATCACAATTTTTACCTTACTTTATCATCGAATTCTCTGAGCCATGCTTCAATCTTCAAGGCTAAGTCGCATTACCATATTTATGAAAAGACAACAAGAAAGCAAATCTTCAGGAAAGTTTCCTTGGAATCTTCCAAAATATCCAAAAATAAACTTTCTTAATCGCAAGCCAATTATTTGGCTGTTTTAAATAATATATAAAACACGTTTCCGTAATTGCCCTTTGAAAGCTCGATTAAAATAAGTTCTTCGTTCAAATAGAAGCACTTTTGTAAATTTTTTGTTGCTAACTAAAGACGCCAAATTTATAATCTAAATAAATCATAAATGTATTAAACATTCCTTACTTCCATGGTAGTTGAGTTTGAGATATTGAGTTGCCAATTTGTAGATGTAGGTAAATGCATAGTGAAGTAACTTGTAATAATCGCAAACGTTGGCACGATACGGCGTTCTAAAACTTCAGTATTGTTGTGGTCATCATTACCCTTACTATTTATTCACTGCCATCAGCGTCACATCGGTCATCACACGTCTTTCTTATCTATATCCGGACAGCTCTCGTAATTCTGCGTTTCCGTTGAATTACGGACGCCCAGCTAACTTCCACGCTACCAACGTCTTTGATGTTGACGAAGTTACTGGCACCAAAGTTGTCAACGAAATTACCTACGCCGACGATACCGACGACGAAGTTAGCGACGTACATCAACTCGTAAAAGATGTGTGAATAGAATACATTTTTGTTAAATAATACATATATTTGTTATTGTATTGTATGTAACTTATGTACTGTAGATATAATACTATTAAATATTATTGTGTAAATAATTACATAATTGGATCATAAATGAATATTTAAATCAATTTTCCGAAATAAAGGAACATAAATGAAAAATATAAGCCTTTTTTTTGGGGGGGGGCAAGGCCCCCATGCCTCCCACCCCCCTGGATCCGCCAGTGGTATGCAGTTAGTTGCTATGTAGGCAAGTTTGTTAGAGAGAGGCTAGTATGAGTTCGAAAGAGATGGACGCCTGATGAATACGACGTGGTCTTTAACGAGCAATTCAGGTTCAAATACGCCATTAGTAGCATATTCAAGAGTTGAGAAGATTGGCAAAACCTTGGGGGGAGGTATTTGATATAATTAATCGGTGATTCAAGAACACAATATTCACACAAGCGGAGCAGGTAACAGTTTGCCCATTGATTCAGAATCCGTTCAGTGCCGTCATCCAGAACCTATCAACAGTATTATTGACGCGAACCGAAGTTACCGACGCCGAAGTGAGCGACGGCGACAACGAAGGTACCGACGGCGACGACCAAGTTACCGACGGCGACGACCAAGTTATCGACGGCGACGACCAAGTTACCGACGGCGACGACCAAGTTACCGACGGCGACGACCAAGTTACCGACGGCGACGACCAAGTTGCCGACGGCGACGACCAAGTTACCGACGGCGACGACCAAGTGATCGATGACGACGACCAAGCGACCGACGACCAAGTGACCGACGACCAAGTGACCGACGACCAAGTGACCGACGACCAAGTGACCG